ATTATTTGTCTTTCTTTTTGTGTTATAATATCGTAGGGTATAACGGTGGAATACAAAAATTCTTTGCCAAGGTTTTATCCAACTAATCAATATACACCAGGGCGACCTCAACACAGTGTTGGATTGACAACAAATTAAACACGCCTTAGTGATAAATGAATAAGCTCCAGTTCAAATTGATTGATATTGGATTCTATCTAAACTGAATCCAAGATTTTAGTTTCAAGGTACGCCTCGGTTTAACACAACCCCATTTGTAATACCAAGAACTTCCATTAGAGACGGCATATTTGATGCCTTCACCAAATTATTCCATATTTTAGGCAAATAGGTTTTCGATGTGACATATTCAATATATATTTATATGTCGTATTACCACAATATTAGGCGGTGTTTTTATTCAAACGTGATTGGGTCAAAGTTGTAAGTTTTTTAAAAGATGAAAATGGAATAGTGACCCCGCCTGCGCTATCGGTATACACTGGCAGGGCACCAGTGAGGGATGATAGGTGAGGATGAAGCAGATTAGTTTTTTTTTTGATGGGTGAAAATAGTATGGTAACCCCGCCTGCGCTAACGGGATACGCTGGCGGAGCACCAGTGAAGGGTGATGATGATGAGATGAGAATGAAAACAGGCCAGTTAGCCCATCATGATGAATTCATCAGGAATTAACCATTATAGTTTCCAGAGGGGACCGGGAGGAGGTCAAACTGGTTGGGTATATTGCTTACAAGTGGATTCTCAGTCTCCATTACTAACAATCCCTTTCCCCCCGATTTGTACATTCGACATGTAGAATTGTATCTGTAGTTTATTTTTAATGTATGTAAATTAAATGCTAACACTGCCTTGTTATGGTTTGCACTGATGGAGTATATGTGATGGATGATAGGCGAAAATGTAGTTACATCACTTAATCCTTTGTGCCGGATTCACTAGGAAGTATTCCAGATAACACCATGATGAATTCCAGATGGGAACCGGATTTTGATATAATATTTATGCAAGAAGAGAGAAGAGACTGTTAATAAGGATCATTGTCTGATGGATTGCTAGCATAATGCCCTGTCATGTCAACCTCCTCGTGGTTACCCTTGGAAAACATCTGATTAATTTTTGGAATTCGATATAATGGATCTACTGGCCTGACTTCATCCTCACTTATTATTCTCCACTTGTGTTACGCCAGCGTAAACAGATTGCGCAAGCGGGGCTACCATACCATTATCGTCTTTAAAAAAAATATTTTTTTAATTAGTTATTTTCGTTCCATTATTTCGCAATTTCTATTAAACACTCAAAAGTAGACTGGAACAAATTCCTTTATGGGATAAGTTCGTCATTGTACTTATTCTTTTCTTAAGAATTTTGTATCCTGTAATTTAAATATTCTTACAGTAGGATCAAATATTCATTATTATTATTTTTGTATGCAACTTATGGCAAACAAGCTAACGGCCCACCTGATGGAAAGTGATAACCGACGCCTATATACATGAGCAATACCATGGAAACAACAGAGTATACTGTTTCGCCTGTGATACCTTCCATGCATTGCCATTCCTGAGGACTCAGGTGTTATTCCTCTGTACCTTGTAAATTCAGCGCCATATCCTACCCTTTAAACCGAAACACAGCCATGTAAACACAACTGCTTCATGGTAGAATTACGAATGGGACAGAGGTGTCCAAGCAAACGACTTTTGTACAAAGTCTCCCTCTGGTATACAATGTTTCCCTTTAGTCATATGTTCTAATTACCCAGACTGTAATCAGGTCCGTTTACAAACAGTAAATGGAACCCCACAAACGACACTGCCTTCTAATGCAATATTATTCATTTCGTAAACGCGTGTTAGCCAGTTGGTATTACCATATCAAAGAACCTGGGGTCCTTTTAACATTTTGCTCTGATTTCAGTACGTTTTCTACAAGACGTGCTTACATGAGGCGAGGTACAAAAATGGATGGAGTAAACGATGCAGGTAAATATAATAATAAAAGAGCTTCCGTACTTGATTTTTAAGCAATTTATAAAAGGAAAAGATTTTGAATTTACCGGTGTTTTTTCCATATGTTACATAACGTACAATCCTAATAAATAGGTAAATGTTTCGAACGTATTAGTAAATAGTAGAATTTAATATAATTGTATTCAAGAGCAGATTAAAAGAGCATCTTCTGTCCTCATAAACTTATTATGTCTATGTATGTATATGTACGTATTTTATATGTGAAGAGATATTTTATGTTTATGTATATATGTATATGTATAGATATGTGTTTATTTTGATTTTAATTGTATGAGTTACTTATATATGTCAACATATTTATTATTTTTCAATAGAAACATCTATAATGTTTTCTTCTATTATTGTACGCATACTGCCCGCTAGTAATTAATGCTCCTTTCCACTCAGGGTTTGCTGGAAGAGAACTCTTACAGAGTTAAGCTCGCCTGTTGTACATCTTTATTTTATATATATTATATGTTGTAATTTTTTGTGTACAATAAAGAATAAATAAAAATAATATAAAAAAATAACATAATGTTGAAAACAAAATTAGATTTTTGTTTTACATATTTGAATTACTATTAAATGCACAATGGAAATTTCTCTCGTACTTCCGTCTGTTAAAATATATTATTGCAGATTTTTTTAATGCTCTATAGTTTAACATTATAGATTTATTTTTAATGTTGTTTTTACTGCACAAAATTGGGGGGAAAGGAATTGTTAATAATGGCAATGTACTAATTCCATTACTAGCAATATACCCTATCAGGTCGACCTCCACGCGGTTCCCCTTGGAAATCATCGTGGTTAATTCTTGTGAAATTTATCATGATGGGCTACCTGTTTTCATTTTCAACTATCATCTCTCACTGGTGCCCTGTCAGCGTATACCGATAGCGCAGGCGGGGTTACCATTTAATTATCATCCCACGAAAGAAAAATACTACACAAAATAATATCGACCATAACAAAATTAATATGACAAAACTAACATGGAAGTAGATCACATTTTTTCAAATACAATTAGCGAAAATATTGACTTTATATTTAATTCTTGAAAAACTCTTTCCTTTTTAAAATTGTATCTAATTCCACAATATATTGAATGGGCAAATCATTCTGATTCCACATCGAGTGAAAAGCAATCACCAAATGGATCAAAACGTAAAAAAAAATATTTCCACAATTCCTTGCGGCAACGAAGTGATTACGAATGCAAAACCGAACGAAGCGTATTACTCAAATTTGGACATTTTCAAAGCAAATCTCAGGATTGAAGGGTTGCATTCTAACCATTCCATTTTCAACTCGAACGGTAACAAAGCTGGTGAAGTTCTGAAAGGGTTGCAATGTAACTTTTCTATTAAATCTGAGAAGTGGCTCATTACGTAGAAATATAATGAGCAGATTATGAAAAAAGTGAAAAGCTTGTTGTATTATTATTCATCTAATTAAATTTTGTTATCTTTTTTATATTTTATTTACATTGTAATAATAATATTACATTATTATATATTAAATTATTTGACATTTACGCCGCGTGTGCCCCGGCATAGAATGGGCTACCTCTTCTTTTCCCGTGGGTGTCGTAAGAGGTGACTAAGGGAAAGCAAGGGGTGGACAGCAGTGTCCCTCTTGAAACATCTCTAAAAGCTTAACTGCGGTTACCAATCCGCCTGCCAAGCGTGGTAACTACTGGCAAAACTCCCCAAGGGGGAGGTTTAGGTCATAATAATAATTTGACATTTATATAAATGTCAAATAATTGAAATAGTTAATTAGGTTTTGTTCTGTAGCGAAAATGGATATATAAGGATATATAAGTATATACTTTATACAATAGTTGTAATAACGACTTACTATAATGGCATCTATATAAATCTACGCATTTCTACAGTAAAGATATCTAATTTTTTTTTTATTTCCGCAGATAATAATTTTTCAGCCAACACAGGTGTTTATTTTACCATTAAAAAGATGTTTGTAAATCGATTAGTGTAGCAGAAAACAAATTACAACAATAGAACGTGACTCAACGAATTGATGGTTTTTGTATTGTTTGAAATAATGTCAAGATGACACGTTAATAATCGCTAACAATATCATAATAGTAATTCTATAAAATCCTGTATCATCATCATGGCAGCCTTTAACTGTCTACTGCTAAACATAAGCATCCCCCTTGGGGGGTTTTGACAGTAGTTGCCACGTTTGGCAGGCGGATTGGCAACCGCAGTTAGGCTTTGGAAACGTTTTAAAAGCGACGCAGCTGCCTATACCTCGTCCTCCCTTAGTCGCTTCTTACGTCACCCACTGGAAAGGAAGGGGCCTATTCTTTGCCAGGACCACCCGGAACTTGTGTTCAGCAGTGGACAGTAAAGGCTAATGTTATGATAATGATGATGATGTACCAGAGGGAGACTTTGTACAAAAGTCGATTGCTTGGGTAACTCTGTCCCATTCGTGTTTCTACTGTGAAGCAGTTGTGTTTGCATGGCTGTGTTTCAGTTTGAAGGGTGGGATATGGCGTGAATTTACTGGTTACAGAGGAATAACATCTGAGTCCTCAGGAATGGCAACGCATGGGGGGTATCATGGGCAAAACAGTATACTCTGTTATATCCATGGTACTGCTCATGTCTATAGGCGATGGTTATCACTTTCCATCCGGTGAGCCGTCAGCTCGCCATTTACCATTCTGTCTTAGAAAAAAAAAAAGATGTGATATCACACTGAAATACATATTAATTTAAGAGACAGGTTTAGAGAAATAGCTCCTTAGAATCAACTCCATTATCACTGATACTAATACAAACAAATTGCAAAGAATAATCATTTTTAAATCTAATTTAATATCTTTTAATATACAAGAAAAAAATAGAGGTTTAATGTAAGTAAAAATTCTGAAATAACAGTTCAATTTTGTGCCTTATTTCATAACAACAAGATAATTTTTAATGAATGTCTTATTTCACTCACCCGCCTGCCCTCTCTGCGACTTGGCTCTCCGACCGACAGCCGGTGAAGCAAGGCTGAACGCTCTATCCGATCTGGTGGGTAGTTGCAGGGTGATGGACTGACTAGGCTCGGAATGACGGGCGCAGATGGCCGCCTCCACCACCGAGTCGATACTGGCTGACCTTGGTATCTGGCCGGCTGAGTCACGCCTGAAAGGGAAAGTATAATATTGTTATCAGGTCATTATTGTAATGCATTAACATAGGAACCTATCTAGGAGGGCGTGAGGAAATATTTATAAAAGCGACTAATTCATTTTAACATGGTTCTTAAAAGCAGAAAGTCTTATATGCCTAAAACAGTAAAATAGCTAAATCGAGTTTTTCACTTTACAAGGATCGATCAATCATAACCGTCATTTAATCATTTAATTGAAATAATCCATTCCTTAAGACTAGTGATATTCATTAATAGGGTTTAGTAGATAGTGGGTAGAGTTTATTTTTCCTGGAATTTCTTTTTATAATAAAACCAAAAACTAAAACCAATATTTATAACTATTTATAACAAAAAAAGAATAACCTGTACCAATGGTGTTACATAGTACGAAATATGTAATGAGTAAGTAAAAACATTGTGAGATTTATTAATCTCACAATGTTTTTACTTCTATCCGAGCATTAATCTAATATTAATGCTCGTATTTACACTAGTTTTAAAGAATAGGTTTCGTCTATTAACATACTGTATATTATGTATATGTAAATAATATATATATATATATATATATATATATATATATATATATATATATATATATATATTAATATATATATATATATGTATGTTTTTATATATATATATATATATATATATATATATATATATATATATATTTACAATGAGAGAACCATCCACTTTTATAACAATTAAATGTATATATTGTATAATTATTATTATTAATGCTTTATTTATTTATTTTGTTAGTAAATTTTAATACGACTATCTTAAAACATGTTAATTGTTTCAATTTTTACCTGTATAACATCCTTCTTTCCGAAGTCACTTAAAAATTATTTATTTCGACGCAATTTATTTACATTAGTGGTTCCCGAACCATTTTGTCTCGTAGACCACTTGCCACGTTCCGCCAATTATACGCGAGTGAAAACAATTTATGTATATTTTTTTAATTATACAACGAGCGGTTTATGTTAAAATTGTTTATTCAGTAAGAACAAACAATTCAAGATATAAATGAAACATATTTCATTCCAACTATTCTGTTATTTGTCAGAACTAAGAACTTGAAGTAGTTGGTTATTGTTGTTTCGTAGTTCATTAAAACGATGCTGACCTCGTAGACGTTAATTCCATTTCCACTCGGCAAAAATAAATACAAATTATTTCTGAGACTAAAATTATTTCAATTCATTTGATAATTCTGTTTTAAAATAGCTACTAAGTTATTTTGTACTGGATACAGAATTTAAAGGTAGGTGTAAGTTACAAATTTAATAGGCAATTAGTGCCTAACAGATTATTCTACATGGTATATTGTTTACGATCAAAGAAAATACTGATATACAAATATTATATGAACTTTATATAGAATTAAACGTAATTACAATTATATTTGTGTAACAAATGTATTAATTTCATCCTAATAATACCAAAAGTCCTTTTCGTGAAATCTTTTCTTTCCTTATCATCTTTCTTATGATATTACAAATATAATAATATTACAAAGGTGAAAATGAGTGTTTTTTTTTTTGCTTTTTTTTGTTACCTCTTAGTGCCTAAACGGTTTAATCAATTATTATGAAATTTACACGTACTCTATGGCATGAAAGTTATAAGCTACTTTTTATTTCGACAATTAACACAATTTCAAAAGATTATAGAAAAAAACTAGTCGCCACAAGGAGCGAAATTATCTTAAATATATTTTCTTTTTGACTCGATTGAAAAATCGAACGTTGTAATCGCAAAAGTTGATTCTTCGATTAATTGATCCCAAATCGCCATGCCTATTACTGATATACTCTTAAAATGCAAGGGAGGCGCCGCCGACGCGGCTGACGGGCCGGCGCCAGGTTGCTAGTTCCATCGTATTTGCATTTTAATAGAACTACAAAGTTACTCGAAGCTGCAGTCCGGGTACCGACGATTAGCGATTAAGATCCTTAATGAAGACAAAGCGACGCTGTGTAGATATGTGGAGTGACTTTGGGGTTTCAAAACATATACTTGAAGTGTAGTTTAATATAATTATTAACTTAGCAAGTTTAGTGAGGTTTACATACAATAATTTATTAGTTGGTATGTGCTCGTATTGTAGTGTGATTTTAGTTATATAGTTATATATATATATATATATATATAGTAATATTATATCTTTGTTACTAAGTATATAACTGCTTATAATTTATTACTTATCGTATTATTTTTAAAGCACATATGTTTTATATATAAACTCTATAGACACTTTCTCATTTCGGGTTCTCAAGGTTGACTAGACGAAATCTTTTTAAGGGATAAGTTCTTTTGTGTACATGTTTGTTAGAACCTAATATCTATAATTAATTGTACATAAGCATATAAATAAATAACTGTAAATTAAATAAAATTTTTATTAACTAGTTTTAACCTGTGATATTATCATAATACGTCAATAATAAGTATCACGATCACATGAATAATATCACAGGCTAAAACTGTCATAAAAATCTATTACGTTTTTACCAATTTCAAATAGTACATACATATTTTTTACGACGATTCGTCGAGCTAGTAAGACTCTAAGACCTTTTAGTGTTTTACTACTACTGACAAACAAACACTCTTTCACAGAGGAAAAGAGATTGTTAGTAATGGGGACCAGCGTCCTCATTGCTATCAATATATCACAATACATCAGGTTGACTTCCACGCCATCTTGGGTGATTCTTTATAAATTAGTCACTGTGGGCTAACTGACTTGCTTTCATTCTCACCTATAGATATCTCACTGGTGCCTCGCCACTGTATACCGATAGCGCAGGTAGGGTTACCACTCATTAAAAAAAAACATATTTTCAAATTAATAATATTAATAAAGATTTCTGCTATCAAACTTTTAACAAAAACATTGTATGGGAGATCGGATGTCGTTAAACCGTCGAGTCGATGATAGGATCATGTCAAGCGAAAATGACACCACTTTGAAAATCACAACAGTATCTTTACCTGTTACTAATATAACAGCCAAAGTTTACGAATTCTGATAATAAGTCTGAACATAACAAAGCCGTTCCAACTTCATCGTTGACGTTTATGACAGTTACAGACTTTAGAAAATTTAATACAGAGTATATAGGCTTTGTATAAAATAATTTACAATACCTACTACATAATAATAATAATAATTTATATATTTCTTTATACAAAGGTAGTTTACATTACAGGATTTGGTATCTCCTGTTAAGCAAAGATTGCTTGTGTTAGGAGAAACCGCTTGTTCGTAACAATAATTACATTTCATAATCATTACAATTTAATTTTTTTATTAAAAAAAAAAACTTCATTAACAAAATGTCTAATAACTTTTCTTATAACTATATTTAGTTTTAGTATGGGCACATTACACAGTTTAATGGGTTGGATGTGAATTTAACACAGTCTAACGAATTTCGATCAAACATACATACATAGTGTATTATAATGTAATATAATACTTGTACAGTTTTTATATTTTTTTATGCAACTTAAAATGGCAAACAAGCTCATCAGTTTGATGGAAAGTGGTAATCATCGCCTATAGACATGAGCAGTACCATGGAAATAACAGAGTATACTGTTTCGCCAATAATACCCCTATGCGTTGCCATTCCTGAGAACTCGGGTGTTATTCCTCTGTACCGTGTAAATTCACTGCCGTATCAAACCTTTCAAACCGAAATACAGCCATACAAACACAACTGCTTCACGGTAGAAACACGAATGGGAACGACTTTTGTACAAAGTCTCCCTCTGGTTAGTAATTAAAAAATTTATAAAAAAGTAATATATAAATATTGTTTTATTATAAATTTTTTAAATTACTGTTTTAATTTAATATTGTTACATTACGTTGCATCGTCAATTACATTTTCTGTTATTCATGTCTACGGTCGACTGGTAGATGACGCCATATGGTGTTAAGTCCGCCATTTACACTTTCTATGTGTATTCAAGTTTAATAAATTATCAACATCATATCGGTCTTTAACTGTCAACTGCTGAACATAATCTTCCTTCTTGAGGGGTTTTGCCAGTAGTTGTCATGCTTAGGAGGCGTATTGGCAACAGCAGTTAGGCTTTATAGATGTTTTAAGAGGAACGCTGCTGCCCATCCCTCGCCCTCCCTTAGTCGCCTCTTATGACATCCACGAGAAAGGAAGAGATGGCTTATTCTATGAAAGGACCATATGGTCTCCGTTTAATAAATAAATAAACAGAAATAAATAAAGACATAATATTTATAACTTAGTGAATAACTTTGTTATATTTATTATATGGCCTGGTCATCTAGTATATATATATATATATATATACTAGATGACCAGGCGAACGTTGTCATGCCATATAAATATTTAAGTGGATAGGAGCACCCTAATCTCCTAGCGGTATGATAAATACTTTACGACCTATCTTCACACTAAAATCGGTCAAGCCGTTCGGAGGAGATCGACCACAAATACCACGGCGTTTGTGGAGAGATTCGAGAGAGATTTCACATACGAGATTCACTCAAAAGAATTTACTCATGGAAACGTAGACTCCTTGATATCAACTCTCTTTTCATTTAAGAGTTTTCTCTTGTTGGTGCAACTAATTCATGCATCTTCTTCCAGCCAGTTCTATCCCAGGCCATATCCTTGACCTTCCTATACGACATGACACCTAGTGTTTCTTTTATCTGTCCCATGTAGTTATTCCTCGATCTTCCTCTTCCTCTTTTGCCTTCTATTTTTCCTTCTACTATGGTCTTAAAAAAATCGTCATGTCGTATATGGTGGCCCAGCATTTTGCCTCTTCTATGACATCAACATGAATCAATAAATAAAACCAGTCAGGTGTTAGTTGAACTCACACGCCGAGGGGTCTATACACGACCATAAGATAAAGCCTTTTTTCGAAGCATTTCTTATACGAAATAGTAATAATAATATTATGGATTAAAATTATC